CACCTGTAGCCTCCAGTGACATGAATCAGTTTCTTGGGGGAGATCTGTATACAGTGGTGGTAAGTGGGTGGATAGGCAGATTCGTCATGCAAAATCTTCTGAGCTTGTAACTTTGCTAATGGAGTCCTTGCTTTGAGAGTAGAGGCTCAGCAGAGGGAATTACTTTTGGCTTCAGAATCCAGAACACAGTATTTTCCTCTATTAGGGAAGTGGTAGTCAGTTGATTAAAAAAAAATTGCGTAGTTTTCACTTGTAACAGTGCTATAAATGTTAAATATATCAACAAGCATTCTTAGAACTCTGCTGTTCCAATTCTTGCCCGATTTTGTTCTGAACTGGACGGCCAAATTTTCTGTGCAAGCATACAAAATGTTGTGAATGCTGCAGCCTTTAATTAGTGGTTGCAAATTTGTTTGTCCCATAGCAACTTGTATTTGCATAAAGATTAAGGCCAGTCAAAATGAAAGGGATATGACATAGATGGAGAAAATATTAATAAGTTAGTGCTCATGCATAAAAGATAAGTAGTCTTGAATGTTGTTTCCATAAGCTTTCTTAAAATTGCAGTTCTTTTTTTAAAGATGCAGTTAATATTTTCTCCACTGTTGATGATTTCTAAAGAAAGATCTGTTGTGAGCTGCGGAATTAGAGAAATTAATGTATTGAGGTCAGACGTGAGTATGGAAATCAAGCCTTGCTATTATTCCGTGTGGCACCAGAAGTATTACCTTATATTTGACCTTTCGTTCATTCAGCCTGACTCAGCTGTGTCAGTCAGAACAATTAATTCCGAGGAGCAGCTTTAAATTGCAGGTCTCAGCTTTCTTCTCCTCCCCTTGCCTGCTGGAGAGCCCAGGAGGAAGGAGCCAATAGAGAAAGTCTCTGCAGGTTTCTCTTTCTGGAGATTTGTTCTGAATTTTGGAGTTTCTGATCCCTTCCCCGCAGCTCCACTGCAGCACTTGTGCGCAGGCATTGTGCAGGGTTTTCAGAGGAACAGGCAGAGCACGTGAACCTCTGTGCTGTGCAGGGGCTCCAGATGGAGTCCTGAATGAGGCAGTGTGAGATGCCGCTTGGAAATGGTGTTCTGGAGTAAGAAAGAGCTGGGTGGTAAATATGATGTGGAGGTTTTGTAGTGATGTTAAGTTCTGTGAATGTTATAGAAAGAGTAGTTCTGCATTTTCCATTTGACTGATGAATGATGATAGGAATGGACTTGAAAACCCCTGTTAAATATTTGCTGCTGTAGTACTTTGAACTGTATTTTTGCTCTTTGTAGCTGTTCTGACAGTGCTTATGCCTATCTTTGACTGGCTGACCCTTGGGCTGTTATGTCATCCAGTTTGACCCTAAGATGTGCAGATGGCAGCTGAGATACAGAAGAAAATGTAGTGTGCATTGCAAGCAAATGTAAATTATCACTAAGGAAAAAAAAAATTGTGCACTATTTCCTTGCAAAAATGTGCAGATTACAGTAAAATTCTGTTTTTGTAGATACTGAGTCTGGCTATAATATATCTAGCTTGGCAGTTTTGCTTAATTAGTTGAGACTGCACAGAGACGGGGTGCATGCAATTATGTTGACTTGACATGCAGAAAATAAACTTTCATTGGAGTGCTGTGTGTGGAAGCAGTGGAGGACTGCACTCTGGATGTGGGCTGTGCAAATGCCTGCAGTTACAGTGAGTGTGGGCAGGAAAGTCTGTATGTCAATTCAGTGTCATTGACAGGGACAGGATCTGATGCAGGCATGATTCTGAAGGTCTCAGTTTTATTGAAAGCACTCCTGAAAAGTGATCCCATGCTTTACAGCACTGAAATAGCCTCTCCACGCTTTTCCTTGTCCGCTTTCCTGACACCCCTTTGGGTTCAAAGCTTTTCCTCCAAATTCAGTGGATTGCTGTGGCTGGGTTTGATGTTCATCATACTCATATCGTGTTGAGGAACTTCGATCACTTGTAGAGGAGTGTGAATACTTGGATCAGATACCGAATGGGATGTTTGCCCCGTGCTTGTGGCAGGGACAGAAGTAGGAGAGAAGAAACACAAGATAAGAAACGTGGGTTATCCACACAGGAATATGATTTGATTGACCCCCTGTTGTAGCGGAGGAATAAAACCCGACATACTTGTGAAAGCCAGTAGTAGATTGCAGAGATTTTCTGATGCTGAAAAAGCCCTTTGGTATTGGCTTAGAAACTCGTTACGTGAGCATGGAGTCCAATTCTGTTTCCACATGTGCTTTTCTCTACCCTAAGTGTCCAGGGATCGTGTGCATATAGGATGCTTTCTGTCAACGCAGGGCAGAAGAGAACACTGCCAGTTTAAATTCCCCAGCCGAAAGCTGTTGTTCCACCTCTGTGCTAGAACAGAATGTTTCCCTAGATCATAATAAGCTGCTGAGTTAACATTTGTGATTTGGTGGAGATGATGCATTTTAAAATCTTACACAGGTGTCCCATCCCGCCTCTCCTATGCAGTGAGCTGTGTCTGTCTCCAGAGCTGCTGTGGGAATGTGAGGGAGATGAATTCCACAGTGTTTTGGAAAGCGGGTGGATTTTCTGTGAGGCTCCTCATTTCCCAGGAGCAGCGTGTCTGGTTACCTTCATTTATTACTGCTGAACTCTTCTTTTGGAGGTGGGATGGAAAAGCAGAGGGCTGGAAAAATCTTCTAAACCACTGTATTTCCTCAGGGGCTACAGGGACTAACTGTCATTGCAGCAGGAATCTGAGGCTGACCTCACTTATAGCCATTCACTGTTGTAGCTTATTTCGTGCCAAAATGTCCACTGAAATCAGCCCTGAATCATGCTCTGCCAATGAATTTTCAGGTGCATCTTCAATCTCCCAGTCAGAAGTTTCAGTGACTTATTTGAGGGCCCAAACTGAGGTGCATGCCAAGGAATTCCAGACGTGCAGGTGAGGCCTGAGCTGGAGCTGTGCTGCTGGAGCCCCTGCAGCCTCTGCCGAGGGATGGGAAGGACTTCCCTGATGCCGTCCTTCGGTATTTTCTATTTAAAAGGAAAAATAAAATCTCATCTGCTCTGCCAGTATCTTTTAAAGGAAAGTTTTACATTTTTAACTGAAATCACCGGTTAATGAATAATGTACAATCCAAAATACTCCTGAATTTACAATTAGGAAGCTTTCAGGATTTCTCTGAACAGCAGCGCATGACTACAATTCCACAGAGGCTTAATTAAATGAGAGTTATGTTACAGACATAACCTTCTCTCTTATTGAGTACACGGTTTCCCATGTGCTCATGGCCTGGTTCAACTGGCTGAAGATGTGAATTAAAATTCATCAGCAGACCTGGGATTAAAAACAGTGGCAGCACACTTGTTCTTTTGGCTGAACACACGGTCGCTCTCTTGGCCTCCAGAAGGCACTCAGTGGCAGTGAAATTGCCATCCAGTCACACGTGAGAAGGAAGGAAACCAAGAATGTGTAATTTTTGTCCTCAGTTAAGCAAATATCAATGTAACGTTACCTTTCTACTCTGCCATTTGCTGCTATTTGCAGCAGAGCAGCATTACTGAAGAACCATCGACCTTACCTAAACTGCTTATTTTTTAAAGACTCAGAATTTCTTGCCTTGCCAAAAAATGGTCACAATTACAGGTACTCAGTGGTGAATGCAGTGAGAGGTTCCTGTGCTGGTGCTGTGCTGAGCACACCTGGGGTCGGATGTTGGTGAGCTGCTCTCGTCTATAGTGGGAATGCATAAGTTCAAAGCCTGGATTATAAGAGGGTCCAAAACTAGACTCCAAAAGTGGCTTTTAGAAATTAGATCTCACAATTGAATTCAAACATTTTTTTGCAGATACTAATTAGTTGTTCCTGTAAGTGGTCTTTACTTTCAGTATTCTGGAGTGGAAGAAGATGCGGTGTGTCAGTGGATCAGTGTCCTGACCCAGGGATGGGTGTAAGTGAGCTGAGGAAGTTTGCCTTCAAGTATCAAAGTGGAAATTACAGCTTTACTATAGCTTTGGCTCGGTAATTTTTACAGTGTTGTGGTTGGATAATAACTATGTTGTTTGTTACTCTCTGCTCCAAAAGAACTTTGTGAAGGACACCAACTCTGTTCAGGAACACAAAAGATCAATGTAGTTTTTTAGTGCCCAGTGTGAATTGTACTTATTCCTGATGATAAGTGCTTAGAAAAGCGACAGGGAAGAAAATGAAAATGTGTGTGTGCTGAGTGGGTGCCAAGTAATTACCACCAGCTGTCTGATTTTGGGGATGTACAGCAGGAGCAATCTTTAATTTTATCCGGGTGTGTCAGAAGCAGAGGAAATGTAACAACACGTCATCCTGAATCAACACGTAACGTTAATTGCAGAGCGTCGTTATCTCCATCAGCTTTATTTAGGGGATTTGGCAACAACAGTGAAGATGAAATAATGTATTTTGACAGCATTCACAGAGGATTTGAAGAAAAAATAATGGGATTGCCCAGCCATCCTCCTCTGAGAAGTGCCACTGTGCATCGATGTGGGCCGTATCGCTTCTGGATGCGCTGTTAGGATTTGTTCTTTGCAGATGTATCTGAATGTGCTTTTTGTTCCTCACTTCTCAGGAAATGTAGAAGCTTCTAATTGTTACTGGAAAATAAGTTTAAATAGCACTAGATTATAACAATCTCTAAGCATTTCCCATGAAATGTTCCGTGAAATTTCATGGAATTCATTTTTTAATCTGAACTTGCTGACTGTAGCTGCCCACTGGTATTTCTGGTGGTTTCTTGTTTATGTGAGACATAGACAGAAGGGAACATTAGTCTGTTACCTTCTGAAAGGTTGAATATTCTGCTCATTGTTTTAGATACTCTTTATAGCATGATTTCTGCTTTAGAGAACTTCAGTATTTATGTAAGATTATAAATTGTTGTGAAAAATCTCATAAAGCAGTGTTTTGTAACTAAAAAAAAAGCAGAAAGAACATGTTGAATCTTGCATGGATAAGGTTAATGTAGACTATGGTTATTTTGCATGCTGCAGATCTCAGACTTCAGAGCATGTGTCAGAAACAAGAGAGGATCTACTGGATGCAGGACCAGCAGGTGGACCGGAATACGAGACCAGCAAAAACCCAGAGGCTGGCCTGCCCTCCCTGTGTCTCAAGCAAGTGTTTCCAAAGTACGCCAAGCAGTTCAATTACCTGCGACTTGTGGACAGGGTGGCTGCGTTGTTCATCCGATTCCTTGGCGTCAAAGGGACAACAAAACTGGGGCCAACAGGTTTCCGGACATTTATAAGGTTAGTAACGTGCTTTATTTAGGAATGGCATGAGGTGAAATAGAACAGCTGGAAACTCAAGGTCCTGCTGGGCAGCGCTGCTGTCACTGAGCTCCTGTTGGATAAGAGCAGGCCCTAGCGTGGCAGGCTTTGAGCTGGTAGGTTCAGTGGTGCCTTCTGAAGGAACTTTTCCCCTGAAGTTCATTGAAACACTGCATGTTTAAAAAAAAAATATCCAAAGATGCCTGACCTGAGAAACCACGTCTCATAGAAATGTGGGTCTTTATCCTACAGCAGGTCACTGATACTTTGGGAGATACTATTTGCAGTCCTAGTCAACGTGTCACATTCTCACAGCTGTATTCCTGAGATGCACTAGAAACATGACAAATGAAATTGGGTCACTCGAGATCTGATTGCTGGCTGTGGGCATTGCCATCGGCCCCAGGCCAAAGCAAAGGATTTCAAATGCCAGTTATTGATGCACTGCACACTAAGGATTTACATCATGAAATTGCAACTTACAGTGGCAAGGAACTCCATTTATTTATTTATTTATTTTCACATGCTTTATTTTTGCGGGATTTTTTTCATTCTGTTTTTTATGGATGTATTTGTTGGAGTCATGGTGCAAATATCTCATTTTCTGTCTTCATTGAGAATGACAAAAGAAATCAGCAGCAGCTGCAGATGTATTCCTAAAATACAAATTCTGTTTCGATGCAGATGCATTTAGCAGTCAGGAATGAATATAAACAATTTGATTTATACAAATAACAGATATATAAATACTGAAGGCATCTGCTCTATCTACAGATCAGTGCAGGATGTTTTCTAGTTCTGTATTCTCTGTTGTTTAGTCAAGCCTTAATTTGGCACTTGTCAGATGCACACAGTATAAACGCCAGCATTTTCTTTTAATAATACTAAAATAAATGGTCATATCTCCATGAAATCGGCTTTGCAGTTTCCTCACGCACGTTAAATAAACTTTTTAACGTTGGCAGACGTTCTCTTTACTTTTCACCAGATGATCCACACCAACTGCAGAGCCTTTTTCCCGAAATGCTGTCTTCGCTGCTCTTTTCAGATTGTGTGAAATATTCCCTCTCATTTTTTCAAGAGTGAAGCGGTATACAGCTGTGATTTGCCTGCAGATGTGTGTGGGCAGGTGGTTTCAAAGACTCCCTGCCCAAATTTTTGTTCCCCTTCAGTAATTTCTTCATTCGAAAAAACAACTTAGAAAAATAAGCAATGGTCACAGATTTTTTTTCCTGGCTGGAGCTTTTGGCCGATGCTTTGGCACATGCACAAGTTCCAGCCATGCTGCCAGGCTCTGCGTTGCAGGGCAGATGGCTCATTCTCATCTACTGATCAACACTGTCCTGTGGGCTCAGACCACACAAGTGTCAGATCTCCCACGTTTGCTTATCACCAAATGCCTGAGATCCATCCAGAGATGCTGCTGTTTTCCATGCAGTGTTCAGTAGCACATAAAAGAAATCTGTGAGTGTGCTTAGGATACAGGGAGAACTTTCCCCATTGTCCTCTGTGTTGCTCTTGCATGGGTTTTTATGGCTTGGAAGTTTGGAAGTAATCAGATGTTTTGCTTTTTTGTTGTTCATTTTTAACAGAAACTGCAAGCTCAGTAACAGCAATTTTTCAATGGCTTCTGTAGATATCTTATACATTGATATCACACGAAGGTGGAACAGCATGGGAATTGATCACAAAGAATCAGGTAATGCTGTTTTGTATTTGAAGACCATGAAAATTGGTGATTTTTTTTTTTTTTGTGGGTAGTTTTGATAGCTTAAGCACCCTGAAGCTTTCAGTAAAAACGATGGGAGCAAGGCACATCTATTTGGGGCATGTACAACAACTCCTAGCTACTTCCATGGCAGTTTGCCTGTATCTATAGATCACTCCTAGTTTTCAGTTATTTAATGGCATAAATCTGCCATAAGCCCCTGTTGTGCTTGTAATTTAGCATTCCTAACTCTTGTTGCAGGAGAGCGTTTAAAGGCATTCCCAATGGAGCTTCCAACTTAATTACAGTGTAAGAAGATATGTCCTTAATGGAGTAGCCTACATGGTCTAGCTAAGAGTTAAACAAAAACCTATGCCAGAGCTAGAAATAAATATGATTAACTTCATTTTGATTTAATTCTGTCATCCAAACTGGTTACTCTGGGGACACTGAAAACCAGCCATATTGCTTTCCAGAGAGTTCCCAGTTGCCCAACTATATACTCTATTTTTTCTTTTTTCCCCATTTTCATTGGCTTTGTGTTGGCTGAGGGAAGGACAATTGATTTCTCTACAAACTCACATGGTGCTCACCATTAAATTGGCTCTTATTAAGGATGATTAGCAGTGCTTTTCCCTACAAGCACCCCTTGTGGCAAATGATGCTTCTCTTTGTTCATGTAAGAGCATTAGTCATTTCAGTCGCTTTTAAACTTGTTTACATCCAGCGTGGTTTGTAATGTCCAATGTAAGAATATACTCAATATGGCTAAAAGTCTTCTATAGGAAATGTATCTACTCCACCAGGGATTTTCCTGTCCTGGGACTTCCTTTCAGCTGCTCAGAGCTCCTTGTGCAGGAGGTGCCAGGCCCATGCTCACAGCGTGCCCCTTCCAGTGGTAGCTCAGTATTTGAACCATTTACCTCTCTATCATGACAATGCATTTAAACTAAAATATATTTCTTGAAAACATTGGATAAGAAAAGCAGCTATGGGAAGCTGTTTGCTGAACAGCAGTAAGAATTCTTTAGAATTTTTAAGCCAAAAGGAAAATGTTTATTAACCTCTGATCTTATTCCCAGTTCCCCTGGTGATTTCCTCTGTTACCATCGCGTATCTTCTTCGTTGTGCAGCTGAGTGGTTGGGAAAATGAATGCAAATACCTTCCTGTTAGATAGTTACACTTCAAATATTTGCTCATTACAGAAAATATCTCACTATTTAATAAGCATGCTGGAGAGAACATCCCATCGATCTTTTTGGTTTCCTTTTAAAAATGTGATTACATTGATTATTTTTTAAATCTTTATACATAGACATGAAGATTGGTTTCACCTCCAAAAAAAAAAAGCCCAGACCTCTCAGACCATCCAAGTCTCTTCTGTACAGTTCTGAAGTTACAAACTCTATTCAGTTTACCTGTATCCAGAGGAGAATTCATCTGCATTCCCTCCTGGGGCTTGTAAGACAGATTTCTCATAAATTCCTTTCAAAGGAAAACAAACTAATTGAAATGTCAGTGGTTTCTTTTGTGAGTTCGGCTCCTATCTGCTGCTCATACTGGAGGACGGCCGTTCTTAGATGTAATTAGTTTAGGTGAGAAATGGTTGTAACAGCGCTGGATCCACACTGCTGACCCTTGGGCCCTGAGCTGACTGTGTGCAGGTCAGGGAGACACTTCTGATGTATTTCCTCCGCTGATGTTTAGAAAGGATTTCTTGCAATGAAAGCCTCTTCAAACCTACTTTTTGTAAATGTTTGTATATAATTTAGTCCTAAGTGGCAGCACGCTATGGATGCAGCATTAGGGGACTCTGAAGTACTGGATGCTGGAGATAATACCAGGATGCCCCATTTTCTGTTGCTTAATATGAAATTGCATTGTGTGTTTACCTGAGGTTACTAAAACAAATGATTTGCTCAAGAGAATAGGTGGTTACAAAACATCACTAAAGGGTTTCTTCTGCTGATTATTTTATGGACTTAGGTTGTTAAAGTAAGCACACTTGCTTCATATATATTTCTGAAATAAGACTCAGGTATTAATGTGGTAGACAGCACCAGGGCAGCAGAGCATCACTTCAGGGGCCTAATTTACTCACATCTTCTGAAAACCCCTCCTGTGCTGCCCAGCTGAACTGATGCCCAGGCTGATTTTGGACATCACTATATATAATCTTTCATCTTTTCTGCTATTTTGACATTTTAATAAAAAAAAACTCTCCCAGTTGAGGCTGACTTCAGGTATCCCTTGCAGATAATAGATCTGTAGGTCTCTTCTGCTGAGACATCAAGGATCTCAGTTTCACAGATGTGGAGAAGTTTCCAGGTCTGTCAGTGGTGTCTAGTCAGTTCCTTCTATAGATATGACACCCATGGGAAATGAGTATTTGCATTTAGGATTTCAGTGTGGTTTCTGTGGTGAGCTGGTATCATTTCCTTAGCAACTCCCCACTCCCTTCTGTTGTCTTTGCATTTGGCCTGCTTCCAGCTGTAGCCCATAGAGAACTGTTGCTGTAAAACTGCAGCTTCCAACTTTGTTCACTCAGTGCTTCACATGAGTGTCACTTACGGAGCAGGCAGCTGGATGTTGCTAAAGGTGCTTTCTCTGCCTGCAGCTCACCGTGACTGATAAAATAATTTACTGAGCTGGCAGCTGCTGCTTTCCGATAACCCAGCAGTTCTCTTGGAAGCTGTTTTACAGCCAAGATCGTGAGAGACCTCAGCTGCAGTCTTAGTTGAGAGAAATTACACTTTAGAATGTAATTGTAATATTTAGAAAAGGTGTTCTTCCTGCAGCATTGATAAACCAGTGTTGTTAGAAAAAAATACGTGCAAAAAACCAAACCTCATCCTAAACTGAACTTCTTAAAGTGTGCGCTCAAACTGGAGAGCCAATTAAATCACAGGGCAGCTGAAACGGTTCTACTCATGAAAAATGAAATTAGGCATTATTTTAAGGTTTTACATATAATATGTTAATATGCAGTTAATATGCAGCCCTTCTTTCCATTGGCTGTGCTAATGTGTTATCAGGTTAGTGTGATCTAAGAACACATGAAGAGTTCTGTACTGCAGTGTACTCTAGGTTGTGAAGGGGCAGAGACTTTGTTACAGCAGCAGGATTTTCTGGCACTGCACCACTTTCCCTTCTTGTGATTCAGCTGTTTGTTTTTCCTTCAGTTGAAGTGAAACTTCTATTGTAGGACGCTTGGCTCTTGATTGACACGAGCCAAGACATCTAGGCGATATACAGAGAAAAAGGAGACCAACAGAATGTTTTCTTTGAAGCTCAGTGTATTAGTGTGTGTCTGATTTGCCTTCGACTTAATATTTGAGGCAAGAGAAACCACAGTTGGTTGTACATCAGCTTAATTGCACAGCATCTTGAAAGCAGTCTTTGCAGTACCAGTTTGGCTCAGGCTGCCTGGGTGCTGGTCAGGCTGGGGTCTGTAAAAACAGGAATAGCCTCAGTGAAATAGCTGTCTGCAACACAGGCATATGCTGTACTGAGACACCGAGCGGGCTCAGGTGTGTTACACGCAGACAGAACCTTGTCTTTTGGTCTTTGATTTTTGTTTTTTTTTCCTCTGTGTTTTTTCCACACTGTATATGGCTGCTGTATTAAATATGTTAACTGCTCAACTTTATGTTCATACCTGGCCCGTAGACGTTTGGCGCTGGTAGCACAGAAATGAGGTACTGTTATGTTTATGTGCTGTGAATCTCCTTTAAAGTCACTTTCCTTGCAGGAATGTGCTTGCAAGCCTTTGTTGAAGCTTTCTTCTGTTTGGCTCAGAAAAAATACAAGTCGCTCCCTCTTCATGAGCAGGTGGCATCATTGATTGACTTCTGTGAGTATCACCTGGCTGCCCTGGATGAGAAGCGCCTGCTTTGCGGCCGAGGGGTTGTGGAGCGCCGAGGTGCAGCGGTTACTTGTCCGACAGATGGACTTGAGGTGACCCCAGCTCTGCACGCACCCCTCCTAAACCGCACGGCTGCAGCTGGTAAACTTGCAGATTGCAGAAGTCATCGCTATCCTGCTGCTGTTTCACCAGGAGCAGGGAGAGACTGAGAGAACTGAGAATTAATCTCAGGTATGTATAAGCTGCAGGATGTGGAAAAGACTCTTGAATTCCTTTTTTTTCCTACTTATGCTCTTCAAAAAGTCCCGTTCTTAAATACTGATCCTTCCTCACAATGGCTACTATATTTTTTAACCTCTCCACTGAGCCTACAGTGCATCTCACGTGACAAACTGCTTTTATTTTGAAGGTGAAGACAAGGAACAAACAGACAGTGAGAAGATAACCAACATCATGGGAATTGGGTGCACTGCCTGAGAGGCACACTCATGTTAAGAAATTACATGCCTCGAATGCACTAAGTGTATCATGGACACCAATTAAGGAGCTGCAGTTGCAAATTCCAGTTGTGTGGTTTTGAAAACAAAAACCTGGGATTATATTTTTGGTCAGACTTCAGGCTTTGACCCTGTTATTTCAGTTGCTTGGACTGGGCTTGTCGGTACTGGTACAGATCTGCTCGTTGCCCATAGCTATGCACTTACCTTTATAACTCAGTCTTAAACCTCTGAAATCATATTTCTGCTTCTACTTTGTACGTGTCCTTGCCATAAGAAGTACTGTTAACTTTTTAAAGAAAAATGAGAGATGTTTGAGTCCTTTTGCTTCTGCAGAAACAATAAGATCACAGTGATTCACAGCAAAAAAAAACCACAAGCAACCAAGCTTCATTAAGTAACATTTGTTGACTTCAGTGTTGTTTTTTCTTCAAGTAGTAAGCACTGTTGCTGCAAAGAGCCTTACTGCATAAAGGTGTAAGAAGTCAACCAGGTCCAGAAGTCATCCAGAAGGCCAGTCCAGTCACTTTAGGCTAAACTAATTGTATTCTAGGTTTGCTGATTTTCATACTACTTTGATGTTTGCTATCTTATTTGGGCCTAGGTAACACCCAGAGCAGATTTTTTTGGACTTTGCACATAATCTTCATTTTTCTTCTATCTACGACTCTCTACAACTTAGATCTATATTATTCAACAGGATATTTTGTCAAGAATGCTGGACTCCACTGGAGCTCTTTTGGAGGAGTTCTACTCTTGTTTTTCAAGCAATGAACTGTGAGTTGCATAATCACACTCTTGGGGAGGGGGCTAAGCAGAGACAGACTGGCTGAAAAGGACACAGATAACTTGGTGCATCGGTGCTGTTCAGTCGATTTTTTTCTGGTCTCATATTTTATGATGATAATGTATAATGTGATTTTCCTCCTTTGTTTTATTATTTCATGTTAACAATCTACTCATGTTCCAGCGCTTGTCATACTGTCAAAAATGACGAAATATTAAGAAGGCACAATGTTTGGGCAGTGAGGTTTGGTTTGAGCAAATGACCTGATCTTGATGTCTGAATCTTCCAGTGGCTGACGTACAAGAATTGTTGTCTGCCATACAGGAATCGTGCTGTCAGTGTGGAGAAAGTCCTCACACTGAATGTCAAGGACTAACTGCACACTCAGTATGGAGTGACTTTTTACTCTAGGGAATGTTTAGGATTTACTTTCTGATGTTTTGTTTTAAACAGCATGCTGTTTGCCCAAGTGAGCATGGCAGTGCAACACAGAAGTCAAGGTTGGCTTGCAAGAATCTAATGCCTAGCATGTGTTATAATAACAACTGTGGGAGTAGCTGCTTCTCTTTTCCTTCTCTTTCTGTAACACAAGTCAGAGCAGTAGTAGACACTTGGTTTTGTTCAGTGTTTGTAATTTTTTGTACATAACGCCACTGCCCTCTGCCTTGTTTAAGTTTCATAAGGATTATTGCAGTATGAAGATAAAATGCCAAACTCTGAGGTCTGGCAGCTGTCAGAACAAACGAAGTTGAAAGGGTCATTTTTTTTCAGTCTCATTGTAACATATTTGAAGACATTCCCAAGTTGAAAAATGGTTGCTTCTCATTTTGTGACATCTGACATTTGTCTTGCGATTGGCAGTGTGTTACTAGAAAATAGCTTACAGTTTCCCTCATCTTGTGATTGATGTCCTGTAAAGACAGAGGTAGAGAAGACTAGGATTTGAAATAGTACAGATGTGAATACCTTTCTTTGGAGCTTTCAAGTAGTACAGCCTATGCCCTAAAACACTCTTTTTGGCGACTACAGAAGTTACCCTGGTATCAGTGGATTAAATTAGCTATTGTATATAAAGAGCACTGGAGATCTTTATATTCTCTGGATCTCATACAGATTTTCATAACCTGTGCATACACAGGCTGATGCAGTATACTCTATTTCCTATTTCGAATATGACCCTTGTGGAGTAGGTAAAAGATTTAATGATCTGCCTCTGGTAACTCAGTGTTCATACATTTATCTAATTGGAAAATTGAGTGGCACATTATTCCTGGGGGAGGAGAGGGGAAAGTGCAGTAAATAGGAGTGCACTCGAGAGTCATCACAACAAAGTCACATTTCTCTTCCCTCCCATCTAATGCAGTACTTGCAATACTATTTAGCATCCAAAGCAATTTCACGTAGCCCTTAAGTTAGTGGTCTGTGCAAACACAAGAAAGTGACCAGAGATACTGAATTTGGAATATGAACGCGAATGCACTGATAATCTGTTAATCCTGAGATAGCTTTCTAGCAGAAAAATGATATGTGAAAGGTAGACAAGCATTTTTTAATAGTATTTTTAATATAATCTTTTCAGAGAATAACAGCATTCAGTATTCCATTTATGAACATATATAAACATTACATACCAGGGAAATCTTTCTTGTTATCAGACACATTGGGTCTGGTGTTCCTCACTGGGCACAAATCCAAGTAAAACACCTGAACATCTAAAGCAGATTTGAGGCAAGTGTGTACAGAACTTCAGTCTAGTCATCTCCTCTCCCTGCAGGCTTGTCTCTATCCTGAATGTGCCTCTATTTGCTGGGTGATTCCTTGTTTGACTCCAAGTTATGTGAGTTGTTATTCTGCATAGAGCTCTTGTCTTCTGAGTTGGCTGAAATTTGTCTTCTGCCTCTAACTTGATTTGACACACTTGAAACTGAACTGCCCTCTCTGCCCGGATTGCTTTACTTGCCATGCACTCCTAGCAACTTTCTTTCAAAACCAGCTCTGAAATGGAGGTATTGAGCTAATTAGGCACTTAATGCTTGCTCAGGTGTGAGACCCCAGTCCACCTGCTTCAGAGTTTGTCTCAGCTGTAGCTCTCCTCCCCCTGCTCTGCAGGTGCTCTCCCCATGCATTAATTTTGTGTTAAGCCCATCATCAGGTGACCAGAGCCCCCTTCCAAGAGATGGAAAATGCAGTGTGGAAACCTTTGTGATGAGGAGGGATCTCATCCTCCTCTCATCTGAGCTTTGCCTAGTTCATTGGACACAGGGTAGGTGCATGCTCTCACACTGAGTTGGAAGGGGCTGGGGCCTCTGCAGATGCTATGGTGTGACCAGGACATTGCTCCCAGCTGTGTGAGCTGTTGAATCTGAAGCTGCCAGAGAAGCAGCTGCTGCCTGGATCCTGCCTGGTTTGGATCTCGGCTGCTGCTCCAGCCTGCTGTGACAGGAGTTGTAGTTTTCTTGCAACATGTCTTCCATAGCAATGTGGAGCTGCGCCCTTACCAGCTCTGTGCTTGCTTGTGCTCACAGCCCTTTAGCTTTAAAGAGGGAAGGAGCTTTATGACATCTCCTGCTCAGTGTTGCTCAGTGGCTTCTCATGCCCTGCTGGCTTTTTTGTGCACACATGAAACAGGAGCCTCACCACCTGCACTGCAATCAGTCATGGTGGCAGCTCTTTGTTCCTTGCCAGCCCTGCCCGACCTTACTCTGATTTCTGTCTGATGGACAGTGACAATCTGCTTCTCAGTATTGCCGAGTTCCCTCTAATTTGTTTTCTTTTCCATCATGGTTTACTGAGTTTCTTCCTAATTCCACAGTTTCGCTTTTCAGCTTGCCTAATAAAGTGATGGGTCTATTTGCCTGATTCTATTAGTTTATCTTCCTCTGTTGCTCTACACTGTTTTCTGGAAGACAAGTGTCTTCATTCTGAAGCTGAATCTCCCCTGCTTCATCTCTTCGGGGCATTACCGTGCATCAGTGCGAGCCTTTCCATCTGCTTGATGAGATTGATCTCTGCAGCTTTATTACGTTAGTGCCTGCCCTCTGGCTTCAACCTGTCATGGAAATGGCGGTTTCCAGAGCACGGGCTTCCTTTCTTTGAGTTTTAGAGGTGATAAATGTTCAACAAATGAAACCCTTACAATGGTGGCACCCTGACAGGGCGCTGGGACCGCGTGTGGGGCACGGCCACGGCTGCCCCGTGCTGCTCCACAGCCCTATTTTTGTGATAACGTGAAGGGCTGCAAACGGTGCTAAAGCTGAACGCGCTGTGCTATGCTTTGTGCCCAGCTACGCGCTCTGTGGAAACCCCAAAAGCGCTTCTCTGGGACGACTGCAGGACAAGTGCCGCAAGGAGCGCCGTTGGCTGTGGCTCCGCTCCCGCCAGGCTGTGGCTCGGCGCGGGCGCGGGACCGCAGCTCTGCTCTGCCGTCCGTTGCTGCTGTCAGTCGTTTAAAGCATGGAATGCGACGGGCGAGCCGTGCCGGGCCGCTCGGCGCGATGCCGACACGCGCTCCCTCGCGGCGCAATCCCGCACAGCTGTGCAGGGCGGGCCGAGCCGCTCGGCTCAGCTGCCCGGGTTGGGCGCTCGTCCCGGCCGAGGTCCTATCGCTGTGAGCGCGCAGCTGCTCCGCGCCCCGGCGCTGCGTCCGCTCCCTCGGGCGCGTCGGGACCGACTGCGGGACGCGGCCCAACCGGAGCGGGGCTTCGCGGTCCCGGTGCCCGCAGCTCGGAGAGCCGCAGAACAGCCCGGAGGGCATGAGGTGAGAGCGGGGCAGAAACGCGGGGAGCTCGGTGAAGTGGGGCGGGCGGGACGCGAGCATCGGTTCTGCGGGCGGAGGGCGGCTGGGGCAGCGTGCCTCGAGGGCCAAATGGGGATCGCGACTGCTGAATAAAACGCGTATTGGCACTACGTAACGACGTGTATTTAACGAGCAGTGTTTGTCAGCGGGCTGTCCCTGAACGGGTGGCAGTCGTTACAGCTCTCCAGCAGTGACGGGCGGGCGGCCCGCTGGGTTCCAGGCTGCGGCACGCGGGTCTGCTGGGCTTCGCTCCGCCTCCGCGCTCTGCCACGTGCAGAGCTGATGGAAGCTTCGCGAAGCAGGGAGGAGCTTCTTTAGTGCATCGGTGCTGTCGGGCGCAGCGGCGGTGTTGCTGTGGTGGCACCGAGGGTTGCCTGAAAGCCAGGCAGGCTGGCCCCCAGCTCTAGTAATATCGCTCAGGTTACTGCTAAACGGGTACAAATTCAGTAGTGATTTGTAAGCGCTGTTAGGAAATGCTCTGCTAACAAGTCCTGGACTGAGGGAATCCGTGCAGATAAAAGGGGAAGAATCTGGTTTCCTTTTGCAGCGCACAGCAGTGAGGAGGCGGCCGGAGCCCCGAGGATTGCTGCTCATTGCAAGAGTGAGTGATCTTTAGTGGAACGTAAACAGAGCTTTAGAAAAGTCTTTTTTTTTCCTGCCCTCTGCTCACCCCTTGCCGTCTGTTTTAATCGAAGTAGTTCACTTGGTTTATTTTTCTTGAAGCTCTTGTTATCACAGCTTTTAACTTACGGGTTTTTTCCTTTGCTTTTGCTTTTGTCTTCCTGCTTCTCCATTGCTGTCATTAGGAAGGAGGGGAGAACCAAACTCTCACCTTCTGTCTCGCTACTGTGCTTATTTTTGGTGTTACCCAGAAATTAGACTGTTGGACTCTGTGCTTCTCCCTGACGTTACCAGTGTTGGGGAGCTGTGTAAGGGCTGACTGAAGAGCTCTGAGCTTCCCCAGCTCCCTGCCAGCACTGGCAAGGAGAGACGTGGGACTGTGGAGCTCCTTCTGTCTCCTCTGGCAGAGCTTTGTTCCAGCTGTCCTTTGGGGCAGGCTGTGTAATGCGGACCTGTGTGGCAGGGGAGCAGTGCTGAAAGCCAGCTGCCCTGCCGTTATCTGCAGCCTTTCTGATGTGTGGCTGAATTTGCCAGGCACCTGCCACTGTCCAAACAGTTTTTGTGGCTTCCAGT